AGGCAGGAGGGCAGCTTGGGGGGCACAGTGCTGGGGCTCAGCCACCCAAACCTCCACGTGTTTCCTGATGGGAAATTGTTCCTTGTCCTGTTTCTGAGACATGATTGGGCTTGACAAGCAGCATGGCTTTATGAACTGTGCTCGGGCCTTGCATCATTTGCCTTATTGTGGCCGAAATCTCCTCCCAGCCCTCCCTCCTGCCTGCACCCACAGGCACCAGCAGTTGCAACAGGCACCCACAAGTCCAAAGAGTCAAAGACAAAAGGATAAAAATACCCATGTAATAAAAATAAAAGAAAAAGTGAGGAAAAACCCAGGCACCATCTGAGTTCTAAGCCTTGAGAGCAGAGAAGCCCTGGGCAGGAAGGGAGCAAGCAGAGAGGGGCTCACTTGCAGGTTCTGATTCTGTGTCTGCTCCCACCACAGCCAGTCTCTGGAGCCACCTCCCTGCCCTGTCACAGCAAACTGGGCATTTACACAAACCTCTGAGGGTACTCCCAGCAGGCAATGGCTCACCCATCCCTGCAGGGTGGGAAGGGTTGGAGCAGCTCACCCACCCCTGCAGTGTGAAGGGAACGAGAAGCAGCATGGAGGAAGGCAAGGGGGAACCTACCCCGGAGCAGATGAGAGGTCCCTGTTGCCAAACTTGCCCACTGTTCATCTTCTTTCTCACCAATTTCATCCTGCCTGGCAGCATGAAAGGAGCTAGCCTTGGGAGAAGCAAGATGCCAGAAGCAACATTTCCTGCTGAAGTGGATCCATGTGGGGCCAGGGAAGGCATCTGTCCAGGATGGGAAGCAGCAATCCATATGGAGACAGGCGGAGCCAGGAGCAAGCCAGCACCAACCCCAGCCAGAAACTGGGTTTAAAGCTCAGCAGAACCCTTTTCCCAAGGCTTGTGCGGGGCCAGCCTGGTGCTCCTTGAACCTGCAAGGGCAGACGTGTGTGGCTGCCACCCTAGTGTCCTCACCTCCTGGGCTTGGGCACAGCCTCCCGCCTGCCCTGGGGCAGGGCAGAAAATCCCTGCCTCTTCCCAGGGTGAATCCCACCTGCCGTGGGCAAGGCTGCAGAGAGGGAATGGTGGGAAGAGAGGCTTGTCCACAACTCTAAGGGACATTCCTGCAGTGGAGCAGCAGCACTCTCAGCCCCTCCTGTGGAGCGACTCGGGACTGGCAGATCAGCAGCTCCCGAATAAACCCTGAATGGCGACAAGGGTCAGGCAGCTGCTATCTGCCTGAAATAAATGGCTTTGCGGCAGTGCTTCCCCCCAGGGGAAACATGTCCTGACAAGCGGCAGTCACTCTAGTGCCCCGAGGGTTTGTGGAGCCTGGTTCCTTTGGGGAGTGTTTTACTGTCTGCTCCCAATGCCAAGAGCAGCTTTATACCAGTAATAAACAAGGCAAAACATGGAGCCAGAGCAAACAGCTGATAAAAATCCACATTTTGGTTTCCTGGCTCCGCAGAACACGCTGGGTAGGGGGAGCAGGAAATCTTTGTGCTGCTGGCACATGGCCTTCCTCCTGTCAGGTAAAACACTCCCCGCTGCTTCTGCTGCTCCCTCATGCCGACTGCCAGCAGTCATCGCTAGAGGAACGCACAAGACATCCCTCGGACTGTGAATGTTCCTCAGCTCTCTGCCGTTGAAGCAGGACTGAGGCCGAGCACAGGCTCACACGCCGTGCCGGGGTGGTGGCGCCGGGGCTCACTCCTGCGACGGGCACCACCTGCCCCTCCTGCCCAGCCCGACCGGCGGCCGGGGCAGGGCTGAGCTCCGGGCTGCTGGAACATCTCATCCAGCCGCAGCAGCACGGCGGGAGGGAAGGCAGAGCCGAGCCGAGTGGAGCAAGGCTGCAGAGCCCTGGCGGGCACGGCGGGTGCGAGCTCCCTGCCGCGCACAGGCTGCCATCGCTGTCTGTTCTAAAATAGCGTTTAACATGACAAGAGGTGTCGGATGGGCGCGGGGAGCGCTGGCTCTCCCCATCTCTTCCCTTGCCGAGAGCCTGTCTACACTGCCATATGTTATTCTGCCGTACTTTATACTTCATCGTGCTTTATTTGTCATCCTCTAGCACATATGGTAACAGCTCCACTGCCTGGCACTTGGAGAGGCTGGATTTAGCTCTGAATCAGGCACAAACAAACACTCACTCGGGGCAGTGCTCTTTGCTTCTCACCATCCCTACCTCCCCGCACTCCTCTGAGGAAGGGAAACAGGCAGGCAGCACTGCAGGTCCCTTTTAACTGAAAGCATTTTATTTTAGTATTTTATCATATCCTAGTCCATTATTCTATTCTATTCTATTCTATTCTATTCTATTCTATTCTATTCATGTTACTCTATTCCATTCCATTCTGCAGCCTCTGCCATGGAAAGCAGGAGAGGTAGGAAAAGAACAGCCACACTTCAGTTTGGGATTTACTGAAAGCCATCCCAAAGAAGAACAACCATAGGAAAAATAATCACGGACAAAGGAACCAAAGGTGATGGACTGCTCATCCTGGACAGACAGGGAACTGACCTGAGCCAGATAGGCCCTGAAACCTGAATGGCCATGGTGGTGGCTGCTGTCCCTTCTCTTCCACGTCACTTCTGGGAAGCCAAAAGCACAATCCAACCATCTCCCTTGGTGCAATCATGTTTACTTAAACAGAACACACTGGCTCCTTTTACCTTGGGCACAGCAGGGACAAACACCGCAGGAACATTGCTTGCCCACGAGTTCTCAGCCTGACATTCCAGACAGAGCTGTGGCTCCAGGGGACTCTGTCCCTGCTCACTCAGCAGGGACACCCTCCAAAATTTAGCCCTTTTGCCAGCACAGGGGAGGTCCCTGCCTGCGACTGAGCACACCAGGGGCAGAGGCTGCAGCAGGGCAGGGCAGGGGCTTTGCTGGCCACCAGGCAGGGATGTCCCAGCTGGTTGTGCTGCAACACTATTTTTCATAAGAAAATATTTAAGAAGTATTCCATGTGCTTGGGAAAATTGTTTTATCACGGGATGGTTTGAACCGTGCAGGTGTGGACCCTTCCAGGTATGCCCAGAAATACTCTGCCATGGAAGGCAGGCAGAGAAAGGGGAGACATGGAAGCACTGCCTTTACCAGCCCAGGCAGCATGTGGGAACGCTCATACCCTGCCACAGAGTCACTCAGGTGTCCAGCTGTCTGTCCATCTGCCCACACATCCATCCACCATTCTGCTGAACCCTCACTCCCTGATGGAAGCCCTGCCCAGCCGTGCTGGAGGTGCAGGGCCAGGGCCTCATGTTCCCCCACCAAACAAGACCAGAGAAGGAGAATCCAAAGGAAGCCTCAGCCTGACCCCACCTCCCCCAGAGCGTTCCCAGCCACCTCTGGCAAACAGCAGCAAACCTTCTCCTTCTGCTCCTCAGAGCAGGTAACTCTCACTGGACACGTCGGGGAGCTCTGCATGGAGCCCACCGCACAATCCGCTGTGCGCCTGAAACCGCAGCAATCACACCAAGGGGCTTCGGCAGGCAGAAGGTGTGGGCAGCCCAAGGGAAATTTTTCTGTGCCCCTTGCAGAAATCTGGTGCTGAAAGGGAGAAGAGTCTCCAGATCCTTATTCTTCAGGAGTGCTGTGGAGCGTCAGTAATAAGTCATTTTTGGCAGGCATATGTGAACAGCATCCAGGAAGGGAGAACTTCATCAGAGCAGAGAAATTCTTCCAGCCTGCCTTGGTATGACTCCAGCAAGCCTGAAATATCTCTGAGAGCTCTGCTCCTGACCCTATCTTGGCCAAGGTACCCAATTTACATGTTCCCAGCCACTGTTCCCACTGGCTCGCAGTGTTTGCTTATTTTTGTACAGGGTTTTGCAATTTGAAGGGTTTGGATTGGTAGCAAAATGGGCATTTGCTCAGGGAAAGGCTTCCTCAGTTACAACAATTTCTGTCCCTCGCCATTAGGAAAACAGGACCACGTCACTGCCTGAATGCAGGGTGCAAGTGAGCCCCACACAATGTGCTTTCACCCAATAATTAATTACCTATCACTTCTCTAATTATCAGACCTCCCAGTGACAATTCCCAGAGGCCAACAGCAAATTCCAGACTGTGCCCATCCAGCAGCTGCCTGAAATATCTTCCAGGGAAGTGCCTCCTGTCACTGGGACAGGAAGCAGGACCAGTATCTCCAGTCTCCTGCCCCTGCAGGAGCATCACACACTTGCTCCGCAGCCCCACAAGCACTCTGGCTGCCCTGGACTGGAGCTGTGCAAGGCTGTCCCTGGCACTCTGCACACTGTTCTGACAGGATCCTGGGCTGAGACAGGGCTGGGTGGACCATGAGAGCCAACAGTGCTGTCTGGGTATTGCTGAGAGGGAAATCAGCCTCCCCAGGCCAGCCTGGTGGTCCAGGAGCTGTTCTGAGCAGGACTGGAGGTTGGCTACAGCCCAAATTCCGGTTTTGTGCACCCCAGAAAAATGCAGGGACATTTTGGATTTGCACCTTCTGGGGCCAGAGAATGGCTCAGCTGGCAGAAGTGTCCAGGCCAGCAGCAGTTGCCAGGCTGTCAGTGTCCTTCAGTCCCCAGGGCCAAGGAAACACAGCCCAAGGTGGGAGCATAGCAACATCCAGCTCAGACAAACCATTTCCCCATGGCGCACATGTGCAGCCGCGTGCCCGGTGCCCTCCCCACTGACCAGAGGGCACAATGTCACCGGCCAGAGGGCCAGCAGGTCACTGGCCCCAGCCCTAGGGCTGCCAGTCAAGGTTACTGGTGACGCACCTGCCCAAAAAGCCAGTCTGGGAGGAACCATGCCAGCCAAGGAGGAACCTTGGCACACAGGAGCGGGCAGTGGGGTGGGGGGGACTGGCCACTGTTGACTGGGAGCTGCACAAAGCACAGGAGGTATTTAACCCCCTGCAGAGCCCCTTGAAACCTCTTCTGAGCTCTAAACCTCGACAGCTGAGAACACGGGCCGTGTTTTCCTCACCTTTTTGGCAGGGTATCGCTTTCAGCTGACTCTGGCGGAGCCGCTATGACCGAAACAACGGGTTACTCAGGGTGAGTAACGGCAACATCTGAATCTGCTTTAATAAGAGAAGAAAAATGTTCTCCAGGTTTCATTTAAGCCTCATTTATAAAAGTAACCTGCACTGTTAGTCAGTTGCTTCCCATCCCTTACAGCACGTGGAAAGGGACAGCAAGCTGGCCTCTGGCTGCCTGCAGTGTCTGCACTCATCCTGCCAGGCAGTTATTTGGGACAAGCGTGAAATCCTGATTTGCTAAGAGCTTAATAAACTGTCACATAGAAAATAGCACAGTATATCTCCCGTGGACATTGCTGGCAATACAATATGAAGAAAAGAGCTAAGGTAGCCATTGTCAAAATTGATAAATACTGAGACATATTTTTTGCCAAATACATAGATATAATAACAGACGTGTCAAAGAGGTTACCTGGAGCAGAAAGACAGCTGGTCCAAACACCACACACAGCTGGCTTGTCCCTTGTCCCTTGCCCCTGTCCCACCCCCTGTCTAACACCAGGGCTGTGTGTACCCTTGTGAAGCTTCCAGGCTGCCCTGTGCCCCTCCCTTCAGCCTGGTGCCCCAACCCATCTCCTTGTTGTCTCCCTGCAGGAGTGGGCTTGTCCTTGTTAAAAACCCACACCTGGATTTGATGGAGGAGGATGTCCTGTACCACTTGGACTTGGGAACGAAGACGCACAACCTGCCAGCAATGTTTGGGGACATTAAGGTAAAGAGCAGGTCCAAAAGCGAGGCAGCAGCTCCCCCTGCACAGGCTCTCCAGCTGTGCATCCCCCGGTGCTACCGGCCCGTGCTGGGCTCCCGTGGGGTGGGCTCTGGCTGCTCAGCTAAGGGACTTTGCAGCCAAAGCAGCCTGGGCAAGGAGGTTATCTGTCCTTGTTTGTTTTGGGCAGAAATCACAACAGAAAATTATCCTTTTAAAAACCTGTAGCTCTGTAAAACCTGATTTCATATTGGCCCTATGTTGGAGGACAGACAGAATAGGTATTTGTCCAAAGAATCTTGATCTTCATCTACTGGAGACAAGGGAAAGAGAATGTTGTATCATTTTTGGCTGAGACCTGCTGTCAAAAGTGACTTGTCATGATGGCATCCTCTTTCATTTCAAACCAGAGTCTTTCCCTAGTTCTGCAGGGAAGAGCCTCAGTGCCCAGAGCTGGAGCAGCCTTGCACAGCACAGTGTGGGCTCCTGCTGCCCTGCACCCTGGCAGCAGGATCAGCACTGTCCTGGCAGCTGCACACTCATCCTCCTCCTACCTTCAGTGAGCATATTTTCCTTTAATATGTAAAATTTGTCCTTTTTACTCCCTGACTTTATGGCCTCTGTGCCATCACCAGCGTTCACTAATTGCAGTCAGCATTGTTCATAGAATAAATTAACAAATGAGCTCCTCCAACATCTGGGTTTGCTTTGCTATCAGTGGTGGTACTACCAGCTCAAATTTGCAGAATTATTTTAGATTTTCTTGCCTAGGACTGATACCCAAGTATGTGCAGCTGTATGGCTGCCCAGACCCCGGGTAGTCACCACCCTGCCAGACTGACAGCCTGGGTTTTGTGTTATCTCCTGGTTTTGTGACCCTCAGGTGTTCCAACGTCCCTTGACTGATGGTGAGGAAGTGGCACCCCACTGCTTTGTCTGGGAAGATGTGCCCGGCACAGCCAGCACTGCCACATTCAGGCTGACTCGGGGCGCTTGTTCTAGCTAAGTACCAGCAGGCTGATGTTTTATTGCAGTTTGTCTGCGTCGGCGGCAGCCCGAACAGGATGAGGGCGTTTGCCCAGTTCATGCAGCGGGAGCTGGGGCTGGCGGGTGCCGGGGAGGACGTGGCTGACATCTGCGCGGGGTCGGACCGCTACGCCATGTACCGGGCAGGGCCCGTGCTCTCCATCAGCGTGAGTTCCGCGCCGCGCCCGGGGCCGCTGCCGGCAGGTCCCACAGTGTGGGGACCGGGCACGACCTCTCGCTCACACGCCCTCGCCTCCCCCAGCACCCAGCAGCAGAGTTGTTCCCTCTTTTCACTGTTCAGCCACTACCACCAGTGCAACCTCAGCCATGGCAAAGCTGCTCCTGTTTGAACAGCATTCCCCAGCACCAGCACTCTCCGTTTGGAGAGGGCCGCATTAACAACAGACGTGCACACGTTCTGCTCAGCTCAGTTTGGGAGGCAAAACCACTTCTGGTTTTGGGCAGAAATCACAACAGAAAATTATCCTTTTAAAAACCTGTAGCTCTGTAAAACCTGATTTCATATTGGCCCTATGTTGGAGGACAGACAGAATAGGTATTTGTCCAAAGAATCTTGATCTTCATCTACTGGACACATGAACTATGCATCTTCATCTACACCACACATGAGCTATGAAACACTGCTGGGAGTATTACATTGATACAAGCTCTAAAAAAAGCTGGCCTTATTATTAATTATTCTTTTAGAGCAGGATTTTTGGCACTGAACAAAGCAAAAAGCAAACACAGGCTGTGCTGGGGAGCACTCACACCCAAAAGCTTGGTCCTGACGCCATTTCTTCAGGGACAAGATTAGTCTGAAGCGTGATTCACAGCAGATGGAATCACTCACACAACAGGGCTCGTGTTTTGTCCCTCTGATAAAACCTAAGCAATCCTGACCAAGGGAATCAATCTGAGAGGATCCAAGGGGAACAACTGCCACAAGATTTGCTGTTCCCCAGCCTGGCAGCAGCAAATCCTGGCCAGAAGCAAACCCTCACTGAGCTTGTGGCCATGCACCAGCTTTGGCCAGTGCAGAAGGGGACACGGGGCAGAGCACATGGCTGCCCTGAGAAGCATCATGCAGAGCTGCTGCCAACATCACATTTCTGCAAGTTGCTTAGAAACACAACTGAGCTCAAACATACAGGGGCAGGAACACAGATTCCAGCTCTGAATATTTACAATGAGAATTAATTTTTTAGGCATCAGCGAATAAGCCAAGCTGATGTTCCAGAATAACAACATGCAAAAAGGTTTCATATTTAAAACATGATACAAGGCAAACAGAGCATTGGTCTCACAGCTAAGAGAAAGGAGACAAAGTAACACAAAAACTGTCTGTGTACCTTAATCACTGGAGCTTCCATACACGCTTCCTTCCTTGAAGATGATAGCAAAACCAAAAAAATGTGAGGCATTTTCAAGAGGAAAAATAAACTCCACGGCATCAAACACTTTTTGTACTTAAAAGTTAAGCTAAGAAAAAGACATTCATCTAGCAATGGAGCAGAAGAGAGATGAGCAAGCAACAGAGCACTGGGTAGATGCAGCAGAAGCCCCAGCAGCTCCAGGCCTGCAGAAGATCTGCCAGGCCTGGGGAGCAGCAGCAGAGATGGGAGTGGGGCAGCACTGTCTGTGGAGCATGGGAACAAGCCGGTGCCTGCAGTGGGAGCCAGGCAGGGGCTGGGGACAGAAGGGCAGCAGGGCAGGGAACGTCAGCCAGCAAGAGGGACAGGCAGCCTGCAAGGCACACAGCCAACACCTGACCCTGAAGCCTGTCCTCACCAAGGGAAACAAACCTTTCCACTGTCCGTTGTGCCCAGCAACATTGCTGCTCCAGTACGCGGTGAGGACAGGCTGGAAGGCACATGCAGAAATGAAGGCTCAGGTTGTTCCCACTGAAGTTCACCACTTCCAGAGCATGAGCAGGACACAACAAAGTGCGAGTCAGCACATGGTGTAAGGATTGGCAGTGCATGGGGAAGGTCTGGGAGCATTCAGATGTTGGGATGTATTTGTGGCCCTTCCTTGAAGGACAGGAACCCTCTGTGTGCCCCACAGGGATGAACACCAGCTCTACTAACCTGAAGAACCTTTAAAGCATCGAGAGGAGGAGAAGATGTTAGACATCTCACCTGGACAGACTAAAAAGACCCCCAGATCTCTCTTTGCCCTCAAAAAAATTGCTGTTGGCATCACCAGCAGAAGAGGCCACAGCATAGCCCTGAGCTTGTTGCAGTCACGTACCTGTCACCTGCCACAGCCTTGTGGGGACTGATGTTTCTCTTTTCTCTCCTTCCAACAGCATGGAATGGGCATCCCTTCCATTTCCATTATGCTTCATGAGCTGATCAAACTGCTGCACCACGCAAAATGCCGGGATGTTACTATCATACGCATCGGTACTTCTGGGGGCTTAGGTAAGCCATTCATGGTCTTTCTTCAGAGCAAAACAGCTATTATTAAAAAGAACTCTCAGCAGTAGGTCATGCAGCTCTGAACTTTAGCATTTTTTCAGGTCTCTAAATATCAAACATGGTATTTTGTTATGGGTCAAACCCAGAAAATTTGTAGCGACTGGCTTGGCAGAGTGCACATCCTCAGAGTGTACAAAGGCCTCGATTCCACCACAGCCATGTGTCACTTTCCAAACAGAAAACATGGATTAGTGGTGACCCAACTCCTGGCCGAGGCAGTGGTGCTGCCCTCCCTGCAGGTAGGGGGGTACATGATCTCTGCAAGCCAGAAACAGCTAAACTCCTGTCACTCACACATTCTCACAATCACTTATCTTGTGCTGATTCCGTACATTTTACTTGTACATCCATGCTACTTCATGAATTTAAATTATTCTCTGACATCTTCTTTACACGCTGAAAAGAAGAGCCCTGCAAGCACACATAGATCTGTTGAGATTTTCCTGTTGTGCTGAGGTTTGGCAGCAGGACACAGGTGTTATGAGCTCTGGCAACCTCAGCTTCCATTTCCACAGGGATCGAGGCTGGGTCTGTTGTGATCACGGACACGGCCGTGGACTCCTCCTTCCAGCCACGCTTTGAGCAGGTGGTGCTGGACGACGTGGTGGTGCGGAGCACCGAGCTGGACAAGGACCTTGCAGAGGAACTTCTCGCCTGCAGCAGGGACATTCCCGACTTCCCCACGCTCATTGGCCATACCATGTGCACCTACGACTTCTACGAAGGTAAAACCAGCTTCGTCTGTCCTTCCTCACCACACATAATGCCAAGTCTTTCCACTCTTCCATGGACAAAGCTATGCAGGGAGCGCAGGCCCCAGAAGGGCTGCAGGCAGAGACCCTCGTGGTGCTGGGGGGCCCAGGCAGAGCAGGAGGCACCCTCGGAACACACAGTACCACTGCTTGCACCTTGCTGAGTTGGCCACCAAGCTGTTCCCCTACAGCAGGATCGTCACTTCAGAGCAACCAAACACTAGGAAAACATTAGGTTGCCTGTGAGATTTCCATAAACAAACTTTGGTTACTCTGGAACCATTTCCTTTGCAAAATTAAATGCTGATTGCAGAGTAGATGAAACGTAATAAATGAAGAATTAATAATCTGAGCACTATTTATAAAGCTTTAGATCTGCTTGCAGATGCAGCCATCTGTGTATGTCTCAAGTCCATACTTTATTTAAACAAAAAGCCATTTGAGAGGATTAAAGTAGGAGCAGCAATAAACTGAAGGGCGGTCCAGGCTGGCCAGCCAAAGGTAAGCATTTGCCTGCCCCAAGGCCTTCAGACACTGCGAGAGGAGGAGCTGCACGGGGCACAGGTCTGCTCTGAGCACACAGCAGGACAGCCAGAGCCCCCGCAGAGTTAGAGGAGAGGGCTGGGATGGCTGCCCTCACTGAACACAGTGTTAGTCCTGCCTGCAGCAGCACCAGTGCCCTGGGACCAGCTTCCTGACCACACCCGGAATGTCTCTGCAAGCAGCTCCAGCTTCCATCCACAACAGAAAAATTAAAACCACATTAAAGGGGTTTCCTCTCCTCAGTGTTCCCATTCTGCAAGGCTTGTTGTACCTCTTCTGAGTCAGTTGGCATTTTTGGGATTTAACCTGGCAGACCTTCACAGCTGCTGTGCAGCAATGGCCTGTCCGGCAGAGCACAGCGTCCGCTGTACCTCCCACCTGAGGGCTGACTCGACCTTTCCCCAGTGCTGAAACCTGCGTCATTCTTTCCCCTACACAGAGACACATCTCACTGGCTTCAACACTGAGGGGAATACGAATTAACCAGCTGCTCACAGGAAAACTTTGTGGGCCTCAGATAGGATGTGAGCACTGCTGGACCTCCCATTTGCACCAATGCTCCATGACGCCATGCAAGGCCAACAGTGACAGTTCTCTGCTTCCTTTCCAGGTCAGGGGAGATTAGATGGCGCATTATGCTCTTTTTCCAGTGAAAAAAAGCTGGAGTACTTAAGGAGGGCTTATGAGGCCGGTGTGAGGAATATTGAGATGGAGTCTACTGCATTCGCTGCCCTGTGTGGACTGTGTGGCCTCAAAGGTGAGTCCTGTCGCTTCCACCTCCTCCCCACACACGGGCTAAACCCCTCTGAGGGTCCTGCTCTGTGTCACAGGGCCAAACACACATCCTTAATGATTTCCATCTAGAAAAGGACACTAAAGCAAATTTCATAGTTCAATAAAACCCAAGCGTGCACTAGGAGACCTGAGTGCGGGCTGGACAAACCAACAGCCTGCTCCCCTCACGCAAGTCCCGGCCGTGCTGCCGCAGCCCCTGAGGGCTTGCGGGGCAGCGGGGCCGCGGCTCCCGCCTGCGGCCGGGAGGGGCCGTGAGGGCCGGCCGGGAGGGGCCGTGAGGGAGGGACGGCCCGCTCCGCCCGGGGCCGGGCCGCTCGGTGACCGCCCTCCGTCCTCCCCAGCCGCCGTGGTGTGCGTGGCGCTCCTGGACCGGCTGCAGGGGGACCAGATCCGGGCGCCCCACGAGGTGCTGTGGGAGTACCAGCAGCGGCCGCAGCGCCTGATCGCCGCCTTCATCCGCAAGCGCCTGGGACTCCCCCGCACGGACTGAGGTGACCGCAGCACCGCAGGGAGCCGCGCCGGGAGCGGGTGCGGGCCCGGCCCGGCCCAGGACCTGCTCCGGGAACGGGAGAGCGCCGGGCCCGGGCTGCCGGAGCCAGCGGACACCGCGGTGCGGAGCTGCCGGCCCGCGGCGCGGCTGGAACCGCGCTGGCACGATCTGCGCTGACAGCAGGCTCAGGCTGTGGAACAGAGCTGCAGCGCCTCACTCCCGGCTCCAGCCGCCGTAAAGGACTGTCCTGTTAGGTCCACAGCGATCTTCCGGGAAGGAAAGCCCTTTCCTTTGGGCATAAAGACAAAACCTAAGTAAATAACATGAAAATGAATCAATTCTTGTGATCGTCATTGTTACTGCTGTTACAAAGGCCGTTCAGATTGTCATTCCTACAGTGTTTAAAGCTGTCACAAAGAGGCACGGGCCAGAGTTTGAGTACAAGAGGGACAGCTGAGGACCTGACCTTCAGGCACTGGTTGACATTAAAGACACTTTTCTCACTACCAAAATTCACAAATAAATAGTCTAACTTGAAACCAAGTAACTTAATTTTCACAAGAAATTCTCATCAAGCTTTATAAAAGTTTGATCGAGAGTGACCTGCCCATGCTTCCTTCCTGGCATAAAGACAGCTGAGCTCTGAACTGCCGCTCCTACCCAGCCAAACCCACAAAGCAGGGCTGCAAGAGGTGCGGGTTGAGATGCCCATTTATCATTAACATTTTTTACATTACTATTTTTATATGTGTAACTTGGAAGATTTCTCTTTTTTTTTGTTTAAGTGTAGAAAGATTTATCATGAAGCCCAATGCCATTACAAGCATCTCCATTTCCTGAAGGGTTCTGATCAGTTGTGACCAATTCTAAGGTGAGGATTATGAGTAGGGTGAAACATCCACCTCCTTCCCACAGGAGCAGGAAAGAGGAGTCTGGCCAGGCTGGGGAACAGCCAAGGGGTCTGCAGAGCTCTCCTGGCATGAGCAGCCTTGGTAGTGCTGTATGAAATACCCTTTACTGACCTGCATGCCCTCCATGCTCCACTGTTACGTAAAGCCCCCCCCAAAATCCTCATTCTGGCCTCACTGTATCACTAAAGGCCTTGTCTTATTGTTGCACTGAGGTAGCCCAGACTTCTATAGACTTCTACTCAGTCTCTACATTGAGAAATCACAGACATGAAAACAACCACAAGTCTCAGCCTAAAAATCTGTGCCCACTATTTCAAAACCAATGTCTGTTCCCTTTAAACTTTCTTTTTCATTAACATCTTGGTATTTATAAAGCATGACAACTATAATCTCAATTTCAGTGGTGCAAATTTTTTTATCTTGTAGATCTGCTTTTAAAGGCAAGGAAAAAAAAATCAGCTGCCTAGGTTTGGGATGATGCCTTTCTGGGAATTGTCTCGCAGCCAGTCTGTTCCCCACAGCACAGCACTGCTGGTCTCCACGGGAATATCCCCACAGGAATAGTCAGCTGTGAGGTGGCCAAGTGTGTTTTAAAAATAATGAGTTACCCCAAAGGAGATACCAAAATAAAAAGCACAAATATACACAGGGTTGTAATTTTAGCACAAGCACACCAAGGCTGAGTCCAGAAGACATCACTCCCCCAGCTCAGGGCAGGCTCTGCAGCATCTCCCCACTAAACTCAGCTGCAACACGGATTATGCTGCTCCTGGGCTACCCTGTGCTCACTCTCAGGAGTCTGTCACAACAGAAAATAAACAAAGATCCCAGCTCTATTTATAATTTATACTGAAAAACCAATCTGCAATATGAAATTGAAGGAATGGTTTGCAGAAAATACGATACAGCAAGTTGCCTTCTAAATACAGACAAAGGTTTAAGTTTCATCATAATCAAGGAATATTAGAAACATTCATGGCAATGAAGATTTTATAACTAAAAGAATCAAATTCTCAAGAAAGCTTGAAAGAAAATTGTGGGATTTATTCACGTAACATAATAAAATCTAAAGTAACTGCTGTGTAAAGCTGTTTTGGACTTCTGCTGCCAATTAAACCCCAAGAACTCCTACTCAAGGTGCTGCACGTCGGATTGGCTGGGCCGTGTGCAGGAGCCCTTAAGCACGGCGTCGCAGCTCGCAGTGGAAAGGGACACGGGCAGTCCCAGGAGCTGCAGGAGCACACGAGCACACAGCCCAGCCTCTGCAGACCTGCCCAGGCCCGGTGTGACACATGCAGCCCAGCTCAGAAAGGCTTGGAGTGCTCGCTGCACACACCGCGAACACAGCAGTTCCAGGACAGCCACGGGGAATTTAGGGTTTGCATATCGAGGGCCAGACCAGAGCCCTGGTGCTGCTCTGCCCCTCAGATGAGATGTGCTCTACATTTTAAAAGCTGTCGATTCCATGTCTCTTCTTGGAAGCTTCAGTGGAGGAAGATTTGACAAAACCTCTCTTGCGTAAAGTGTTTTATGCAGTCCAGCTTCTCGGAGAGCGAGCTCGACACGGAGCCTGGGGTCAGAAATGACCTGTTAAAAAACCACAGCAATGATCAATAGAAGCCAAAAAGCTCCCTGAGGAGCTGCTGCCTTCCCCCATGTTCTCCATGCATGCAGCCCCAAGTGCAGCACAGACTCCAATCCTCTCCTGGCTGTTCCTACAGAATCCGAGTGCCTCAAATGCCTTTTTGATTTTTCTCAGTGTCACCTTGTGCTTACATGGCAGTGCCACTTCCATTTGTCAGAACGATAATCTGAGGGAAATTACTTCTGGAATTTGTCAAAAGTTTATCTGATAAAATTTGTAAGCCTCTTTCCAATCCCTGTTCCGTGGTCTGCAGTGGCACTGCACTGGGAGTACAAGGAAAAGCAACACGTTGCTTCCAGTTCCAGCATCCCCTCCCCAGTGTCCAGAGCTGCTGGACACCAGCACTGGGAACATGATCCACAGCCCCTGCAGCACTGGGAAGGAGCATGGGATGTGCTGGGTGGGAGTCACATACTGCAGCCCGAGCAGCACCAAACCTGTCTGGAGCTGAAACAGAAAGAGCATGCTGAGAGTTTAGACATAGGAACCAAATATACATGTGCAAATCATCTTTAAGATTTGTCAGAACCTTGTACATTTGTCAGATTTGGGGAATTTTAATAACCAAACAAAACCTACATCTTTCCATTACCAAATTGAGAAACTTTAAAATGTCTTAAAATGGGCAGTGCTGGACAACTTTAGCTATAGACAGTGTTAAATTTCATCTTATTCAGTGTCAAAAGAAAGCTTTTATACCACAGAATTGTACCATAACTCTTCTCTTTTCATAAATAATTTTCAAATTCCAGAGTGGGAATAATTGAAAATACATTGACTGAGCAGATAAGGAACAGTGAGGGAATTTAAAGATATCAAGTTCCTTGAGTGCATTTGAAATGGAGGGAGCAGCCTCCTCAGCAACCTGAGTGCCCTGAAACACGAGCAGAGCCAGCTCAGCTCCTGCTTTGTTTACTCAGCGTGATTACAGCCCCTTACCTGCTCTTCCCTGTAGGTGTGCAGCCTGAACAGGGGCTGCTGCAGCTCAAACTCGTCCTTGGCCCCAATGCCCATCCAAGCTTTTGACGCCACCGTGTCAGCCACTGCTCTGGCTGGATCCAATTTTGCAACAATGGCAACCTAAAGACACAGCACTAAAGTCACAATTACTGTGTCTGTGCAGGGCTAAGGCGAGAGCAGGTCACTCTCGGGAGCACACCCTTTGAGAACACCACTGGTCACTGTCTTTGCAGGGACCCTGTAGCAGCAGTGCAGGGTCCCAGCTGCAGAGACAGCCTGGGCACAACAAGGGGGAGTCAGAGAGAAGCAACTGCACCCCGAGCTCTCCAACAGACACTGACACGAGCTCCAGTGTCCCACTCGGTCTCTACAAGGATCCAGCAGCCTCAAAATTCTGCAATACCCACAATGCCTGGAAGTCCAGACTGTCTTCTTTTTCTTTCAATGGAAACAAAGGTGTTCAGGGTGATAATTCACAATTTTACAGAATCACAGGCAACAGCATTGAGTTATATTCTCCCAATAATACAACTCTGTTTTTTTCTGAAGTGCATCTGCTTTAACTGTGTAATTTCCTGTGGCTAGATCAATATCAGATTCCCAGACACTGCATTGTGCCAGAATTAATCTTTTTTCATTATTTACTTTCTTTGTGTTAAAATATTCAGATACAGCTAATACTACTTTGGAAAAATACAGAAAGATGCATGAGCAAAACAGCTAAAGTCAGAAGCCCATATAAAGAATGGCTAAAACCAGAAAAAAATACTTTAAATTGTGTATGATAATTTTTCATCCATCTCTTTAATAAAATATCACCTTTGTATTTACAGACTGCCCGAATCTACAGGCCAAATTACTTTAGTAAAGATCTTCCCCCCACCCATCCCATATAAACATTGTAGATACTTTATGAAGCAGCATTTCGTTAGTGTGAAACAAAGAATGTTGATCAGAGGAGTATAATGAAGTGGGAGCATCAACATCCCAGGCAAAGGCCCTTCTAGAAGCATTTCCTACTCTGGCAAGAGAATTAACTCTGTGGGAAGAGCTCAACAGATCATCACTACCAGCCAGCCTCTTTGGAGGAAAAAACAAGGAGATCACATACAAAAATGTAAATTAAGATGAAATTACTCTTTCAAAAGTCAGCAGTATAAAAAAAAATAACCCCGGCACTACTTTTACTGTGACATTGAAAGCACTAGTAAGCATTTTATGGGTGTCTTTTGAAAAGTACTGTGCAAAAGTTTCAGAGACTCAAATATCTCTGAAGAAAAGTCATCCAAGGTGTGCTACTTTTCAGAATTTAAAAAGAACATAAATTACTCAAAAATCTTGCCTTAGACTCAAGGCAGACTTAAGGTTATTAAAACAAACAAAACCCAGGAAAAATCACAGAAGACAAATCACATCCAACCCGGAAAAACCGTCTCTATCTCCTCTCAGATATCAGCAGCTCCTACAGTACAATTTAACGCCATAATGTTGCTGTTGTCAGCGCTGCAAAGGACACAGGATTTATGACAGGAGAGAATTCCTGTTGGCCTTTTGCCCTGTTCCTTTATGTGCTTTTGAGAGATTTTTCCTTCATCCCGCCTGCCCCGGCGTTGGGCAGTGCGTGACCCCAGCCAGCCCACCTGCTTTCGGAGCGCTTCCAGGCGCTTCTCCTTCTGCTGCTGCTGCCGGGCCTGCCGCAGCGCCAGCTCCTTCTTCTGCAGCAGCCGCTGCTGCAGCGAGGCGCGTCGGAACCGCACCCTGCG